GTTCGGCAATTGATTTCTATGCTTATTCAAAAGTAAAAGTTAATACGAGGAATCTCTTTATAAACTTACTTTACGGAATGAAATTTTGATGTTTTAAATTTATTTTATTGTCGAATGTTTCTTGAAATCTGCAGTTAAAAAGTTCTGTAATAAATATTAACTTATTTGTCCAGAATATTAAATGATTTATTACCTTTGTATGGTTTTATCAACAGTTTGTCAATGGAAATATGAGTATTTAACACGTAGTTTGAAATCTAATAATTTTGATTTCGCTAGAATCAAACAAAGATAAATTAATATAAAAATATTTATAAATACGATAAATAGAGACAAAATTCATATCTTTGATCAATTTTCTTCAAGGTCGGTAAGTTAGACTGGGCAAGGAAAATTCGTGTCGTAGTACGAATCCGGTTCATTCTCCTAATTTTTCATTTTATTGTTTTGTTGTCTTTCCACATTCGTGTTGTCTCATTCAATTTTGTTCGATCGCATAGCAACGTTGTAAAATATTATTCTGCCTCCTGAAGAACCTTACGTTAGTTTAAAGCCAATGTAAGCTTCTCCCAGTTTAGACAATCCCAATCGGAATTTCCATCCTTTATTCATTTTCCTGATTTATCTTTATCGGAATTGAACTTATTTGTAAAAGATTACTTATTCCGATTATCTGAAAACTCTGTGAAGATTTATTCAATTAGTTGCCATCAATGGCAACTAAGTGTTTTTATTTTATTTTTTTCTAATTCGCAATTTTCTTTAACAGTTTGGAAGGTTTAACAGATTCCATTTACGCAATATATAATGCAATTTCATGGATATTTATACAATTAATATTTGTAGTCGTTAACATTAGATAGAATCTAGATATTGATAGCTATTGAACTAAAATTCTTATAAAATATGGACTTCATTGAATTGTCTAAAATGTAATAAAATAACACCTATTTTTTCAAATGTAAATAGTAATTTATGTAATTTTCAATAAATCATTTGATTTTATAAGAGGAATTTCTTAGTTGGGTGGTTTGTTTTCAATGCTTTTGTTTTTGAAAGGTTTTAAATTTAGTTAGATGCAAACATGAAGTTCACCGAGTCACCGGTCATTGGGAGGCCCAGTTACTTAATAATATCTTGTCAAGAAAAAATACCATAATTTTCAACTATTCCGTACAGTTGTGTGGAATGTGTGGATAGGTATGATATGTAATGAAAAAATAAATTTTGTTGAGTCCTTTAAGTGATTGTTGCACGAGGGCAGTGACAATCCTGCTGAGCAACTGCAAAGTTTATTACAATGTTTCACAAAATTCAATCCATAAATTAACTTATTGATATCTTTATCATTTTCTTAATCTTAGATTTGTGAAACGAGAAAACAAATCAATTTATACACTAAATTTGGTTCGAAACTTGAATAGATGAGAGAAAAGATATAATAATATTTATTAATTATGTGTATTTTATTCCCTTCTATATAAAATAAATTCTGGCTATTTTTGCTAAATCGAAATATTTTAGGTAATTACACAAATAATTTTAATGAGAAAAGTCACGCACATAAGCATTAATTTATCAAACTATACCATTTTAAAATATTTTATAACAGAACTAATCCACAATTTCATTGAAACTAAGGTCAAATTTTAATTTAAAAGTATCCAGAAGATTATATGAAAATTCAGAATATAAAAATTGCTTTAAATTTACATTTGTAAAATTATAGATGCCGAAACATATTTGAACATGTCACGAAGATGTCCCAGACAAGGACCACTAACATTAGACCAAAAATAACTGGAATTTAATAATATATGCAACTTGAAGACAAAAACAAAAGTAATTTGCAAGTCTTTTTAGTATTGTATATTCTTTTAAGTGCACATCTATTTATAAATAATTTTTCGTCCTGTATTTTTATTGTTATACAATTTTTAAAAGATTCCAATGCCAGAGGGTCTTTTTGAAAGAAATTTTGTCTAGTTTAAGGCAAGGAAGCGTCTATAAAGAAAGGTCGACGTCTCAAGTGTTGTGTTCCTGTAGTGTGAGAATTATTTTTATGTCTGTCTTCAAATTATGCTTATTTTTAAATAAAATTTCGTGTGTGTGTGTCCTGATTAATAATAATTATTATTATTATTGTAGAATTTAACAAAGTACTTTTGAAGAAACTGATTTCAATTAATAATTCAAAAGTTGTATAATTTCAAAATATATTTAAACATTACTTATAATTACAATTATTATAATGATTATATAAAATCATCTATTTAGAGTGGGTACAGATATGATCAAAACGGAATGAAAATATAAATAATTATTGAAAACTGTTAATTAAAATTAGTTTAGAATATCAATGTATCGTCTCTTCCGTGTGGTGTACAACTGTATGTATGTATTATTATATCTTAATAAAATCTACGAATATTTGACATTCCAATTTTCAGGTATTTTTACTTATAATTCCAACGAAATGTATTAAAATCAAATTGGTAAAAAATAAATCAGCAAGTAAATTTTTATGAATGAAACTTTTACTAAATGAAAACATATCTTTATCGATCAGAATAATGTTGTTAGTCTCCTTAATTCAATAATAATCACGTTTAGCAAACGACTACTTTGGTCCTACGTGATTCTAATTTTAATTCAGAATAACTTAGGAATTAATAATAACGATATTAATATGTATAATATTTTAAAATTGTTACTTAAGTAATAATGATAGAATAATTTGAATGAAAAAGTTTCTTTTCCTTACAATAAAGATTACAGATTTCATGCGAGAAACATTTTTTTTTTGTACGAGGGCCAATTCGTAAAAAATGAAATGTTCGCTGTTTGCATCTTAAATGACAACAAAAAACATATTTTTGCATGATTTATTTAACGAAAAAAGTTAATGAGAAAATTGACATTACTTTTAGCCACGAATAATTAATATCAACACTTATTTGGAAGGTAGCAACACGGATGCAATTATCGCTTGCTGAAATTCTTCAAAATTCATTTTTGAAAAAACTGTTGGCAAATAAATATATTCCTAAAACATCTTTTCTTGTGTGATTTTTTTAATCGTTTTTACCAGTAGAATTCGTAGAATTTGAAGTATATTATTTCTAAATTCACTTGTCTTCATTCCATTGTAAATCTACTTGTATAATCATCAGTTGTTTCTCACCACTGTTGTCTTGTCCATTTTCGATTGAAACTATCACAATAAAATTTACCAAATATTTACTGAAAATAATTTCATCTCGGAATGGAAATGCTTTAATGAATTTAAAGAACAACGAATTAAAAAGTTCTAAATCATGCAAAAGTCATGATAATTCCAAATTTCACCTCTTTTGTAATAAGCACTAACAAAATGATAAATTAGGTAATTAATACTCAGAGGTTAATAATTGTGAAGAAGCTACGAATTTTAATTTCCCAAGTCTGTAATCATTTTAATCCTTAATTTATATGGTTCCTAATTTTGTAAAACTTGAACCTATTCGTTATCAGAATAATCATTATTTCCTTTACAACTCTAGAATCACAATTTACGGTAGTGAATTTGACAACAAGGACAATTGATGTTTGTACAATTAAATAGGGGCCAGTTTTCCATAAAAAGTCCTCCCTGGAGTCATCCCCTCGGCAAATCGCCCACGTGTCGCATTGCCGTACGAACAGACAAATCACGGAAGCGGAAAAAAACGAAGAATGACCGAAATTATTTACTGTAATGGATTGCTTAATTGACATTTCAATTATTTAAATTTTCTTTTTTCCAACATTATTATGCACTTTAAACGAAAATACGAAAATATTAGACTATTAATTACTAATTTTCATTCGTTATAAGTTAATTACAATCTTTCCCTCAATACAGATTCGAGTTTTGCCATATTACTACTATTTCGAAAAATCGTTTCATTTGTTTTTTCGACGATTACCGATGACTTTTTATTAATTTAAACTCCAAAATTAACAATTTAATTTTACTTTGCAATGTATTATTAACGTTTCCTATCGTCCAATCTGCATTTGAATATTATTCTTATGCGCATTAATGTTCTTGTTTTCGAAAATATGTTAGAAATATTACTAGTATTATATAAAATAAAAAATCTGAATATGACAAGCAATACCAGTAATCTTTTAACAATCAAACAACACAAAAAGCATTTATATCAACCTAAAGAACATTGATAATGTAAGGGATAATGCAATGGTTTTCAACCGGGATGCTGCTGCACACACTAGGATGGCACAAAAACACATCAGGGATGCTGCAGCTCTGAACAGCGCCATAACATTTCTTACAAGTATTACCTAAAGTACGAAAAGCATAATAACTCTATATTGATAAAGAGCATCAATGTCCACCTATATAAATATTGGGATCGAGCCAATAAATATGAGTTAAATATGAACCAACAAATATGCGAAAAAACTTTCTCATTTCTGGGATTTGAGTGAATATAAAAATAAGGCGTATCTTTTATGTACAGTGCTTTACTTCAAATTTTTTTTTAGTATAGCTTAAAAAACTACGGTTGGGAAGGAGACAATTTACCGGTACAAAAACATTATTGGAAGGGCCTATAATAAAGTAGTGATGATTCCGCAAGAAAAATTACTAAGCCGAGGTACCAATATTAGAAAATAGTTAAAAACACCGAAGAGAGCAATGTTTATACCGATTGTGAGTGCCATTTCTGTTTCGTGTACTGTACATATTATTATTTTCACATTAAAACAGAAGAATTTATTCAGTTAATTATTTTTGTAAACGTATATTACTTTAATTAACTATAATTTAAAGACAAATAGTTACAATTATTACCCTTGTCTATTTTCAAACATATCGGTAATTTTAATACAAAATAAATTTTCTGTTTTCTCGTCGTCATCTCTTACATTATTAGTGCTTTTCGGTCCATTTTAATTTACTGTAGAATATTATAGTAAAATATCATAAAATTTTATACTTTTTATTATTTCAGGTGTTCAGTTAGGATGCAAAGAATTACGATCGAAAAAATACATATCCGACGGTTATTGTACATCTGCTAAACCAATAACGGAAGTGGTATGTGCAGGTGTGTGTCTACCCGTTGCAGACTTATTTCGTTATACGGAAATCATGCAAATCAGACCTCGAACTTCGTTCGAGTGGAGATGCATCAACGATGTTACTAAACGTGAACGCATACATTTGGTTTGTAGAAACGGTAATAGAAGAAGTTATAAGATTCGTCTAGTTAAATCATGTAAATGCAAGAAATTTGCAAAAGTCGTAAAACATTTTTCGTAATAAAATGATGTTCCTATTATTAATTATTATCAAGCTTAATTTTTATTATGCATGGGATTGTTGCAATGTGTTTTTAGGTAGAACTTGTGGATAATTTTATTTATTTATACGCAGTTATTATTGTAAAAACTTTTTAAAAATTAAATGAATATATATTTTAAAAACCTGAAACTCTTCAATTCATTTATATATTCCGTATTATAAAAATGTTATAAAAATTATCGTTCTTTAATTTTAATATATAGGCTATATATCGGTTGATAGACAAAATTAATCATATATAAAAACTGAAAGGAAACTTCGTTTAATAAAACTTTAAAATATTTACTATATAATATACATTTCACTTCGAATGTTTTTAATGCTATTTAAATTCTGTTGGTATGCACACGCTATCTTTAGGAGGAAAAAATTACTGTATTTTTGAGTACTTAAAATATACAATACTATAATTTTGTTTTTAAATTCATTATTCATTAGAACAGAAATCATTTCTGTGAAATAATGACATTTTAAACGGTATATTTCAAGATTTCTCCAACGTAAATTTGCAACATTCATAACAAATATAAATTTTACAAGTTTTATGTCAAGAGTTCCATACCACGGTAATGCAATAATTTCTCATCTCTTTAAAAAGCTGGATAATAAATTTATCAAACGTTTATACATACACAAAACTGTGACTAAATGCATTCAAATTATTATTAATCAGTAATTAATGATTCATAATGAAACTTTATATTCTATAACCTATTATAAAACAATAATCGAAACACGTCAATATTCCATCAAATTTCCTAGATTTCTGTCACTAGATGTAAACGTGAATAAGTAAGAAATTGGTATGAGAGCATAGTTTTTATTAGCTGTTTAAATTTTCAAAATGTCTTATATTCAACACTTTCACTAAATTATACTTATTTCCTAATTTAATGAAGACAAACTAGATGAAAATATGGGCTTCTTACATTAATAAAACATACTTTTGTGAGTTGTGCTTATTTTCGGATTACTAATNTGTCTTATATTCAACACTTTCACTAAATTATACTTATTTCCTAATTTAATGAAGACAAACTAGATGAAAATATGGGCTTCTTACATTAATAAAACATACTTTTGTGAGTTGTGCTTATTTTCGGATTACTAATCGTATTTTATGACACAAGTAATTAGGAAATAATTTTGAAAATTATCTTGTAATACTCTTACTCGTATTAGTCGAATTGCCGTTTATCAATACAATAGCGCAAATAAATTGACAAGTAACCTACTTCAATGGATTTGCTTTGTTAAACGAGTTCGAATGCTTTCCCCAAACAAAGCATAACTTTTAGATATTTTACAAAGATTAAAGCTTGGGATTTTATTTTTACGTCGGATAATTTTGCTGTGGAAAAAATGATTTACTTTAGTCCTACATTTATTAAATCCAATGTTGTTACATTTGTCATTGCTTCTATAAAAACTTCAATATAATATCATCCATCGAGCAATCTATGGGTACCAAATGCCCAGCTTCGTAATAAACTCGTTTAGACAAAATAAAAACTGGGTAAGTGAAACATCGAAAATGAATATTTAAAATATATATTTAAATTATTACTGCTGTAAATATTGTACAGTATGAAATAAATTTCCGAAATCGAGTTTTTTAAGAACCGGTTGTTTATTGATAGCGATTATTTTATAATACTTTGAAGTGAAAACATTTTATAAAGTGAATAATTTTTCAAAATACGAATGGAATGCCGGTTTTTGAAATCGTTTTAATACGCAATAGCAAGTACAGTACACAGAAATAGTTTGTCAATACTTTCTTACATCAGTATGATACAATCCAAACACGTAGCCAATCGTAAAAGCAGCGTTTATATTAAAAATAATGTAATTTTTAATATAAATTAGTTTTACAATAAAACAATATTACTTAAGTGTTCTAATTTTTAAAGTTGTTTTCCTTATATTATTTCCTGTATTTAATAATAGTATTTTGTGCCAGCAAAACATCTAACGATTTAAATTCGTGCAACCTGATATTTTTCAATTTTTTAAAATGTCAATTGTAACGTCAAATAAAGATTTCTTTATCGTAAATGCTGTTTTTACTGATTCTGTAATTTTTTTAATCGATTAATCACAGGTTAATGTATTATCCGATCACCTTATGTTCGGAGAACTTGTTAGGGAAAAAATCTTCGATAACCAGTTGCTGACCGGACAATCTACTGATTTATTGGAAATAGAAAACGAACAAGTTTATGTGGTTTTACAAGCTAAACTTTATTTATAATCGAGAAAGACAAGCCATGAATATATACAGTGCCATAACTAGGCAGGTGCAACAGGTGCACCCGCACAGGGCCCACTTGGAAGAGGGGCCCAAAATGCATGTATTTGTTTTATTACTTTCCCAAACCTAATTAATTAAGGGCCTAAATGCAAATTCCTGCACAGGGCACAGGAATGGCTAGTTACGGCACTGAGTATATACCTATATCTACATTTAATCGCCGGCCATTCAATTTATATTAAAAGGAAAAGGTTTTAAAATTGTTATCAAAAGTGTAATTTTAAAATGAATTTTATGGCGAAATGAAAAAATGTCATTCAAATACTGTATAAGCATTTAACTCTTTTTAAAAAATCAAACTGCAGCGTAGGACAAAGCGGTCGGCTTGTCGCTCTGGGGAACACGGAATCGAATCTGTCAGGTCGAAAAACCCCAGGAAGATTTTTGTGCGCTCTGTCCCGGATATGTTGAGCCTCATCTTTCCCTTTGTATGCCTTGCCTAACTTATAATGGATATAATTAAAAGGACCTTTTAGTGCCCACGGGTAGATCTATATATACAGTAGGTCATTTCATTCAAATGCTCGCAGTAGTAGGTGAATCACAATCGCATAAACGGTCGCTATGGCTTTTTGTCATCACAAGAGTGAATGACAGATAGTATTTTTTTTTTAATGTTTAACTACCCAGCAACAGTAAATTTTAAGTTTAAAATCAGAATGTCATGTTTTGTACCTATTTGTAACAGCCGCTACAAAAAAGGGGAAAAAGACGTCTTTTTAAGGAAAAAAAAGAGTGAAAAAGTGATGCCTTTTGTTCTTCGCGAGAATAAAAACTCGAATAATAAATTCATTTGTCATCTTCATATTCGCGAGGGTATTTTACTGAATACTTACATATTACTCACATAGTTAATGGCGAGAAAATTGAAATCAAACAGGACAAATGGGGGTTAACGCGGATACAGTTTCGACCGTTTGCCCGAATTTGCTATCATACCTAACTAACTTGTAAGTCACAAGTTAAAAAACGAACTTCACTATGCAAAAGGAAGGCACAGAAGCTAGCAGAACCAGCGAAAAAAGAGAAAAAGTAAATAGAAGGATTAATTATGTATATTACAGTGGCGTGCCGTGACATTTGATGATAGGGAAGCTGTGTTTCTGTAAGAAGCCGACATCCAGGGCAATCAGTCAATTGCGCATCAGTGACGGTCTAGAGCCATTCGTATCGTTTATTCAATAAGCCAGTAAAAACCGTAGACTTTTCTAAATGCATTTTTAATATCACAATTATGTGAGGGCCGAACTAACCCTCAGTAAAGTGTTATTTTCAATTTTATTTATTGGAACTTTAATCAAGTAAAATCGAACGTTAGGCTAAAAGCCATAAAACTTATTTCCCACGGAGTTTGTTCCTTGTTGAATCAGATCAAGTTAGTCAGGGATGTGTCACCAGGAACTTTTGATGGAGAAGACATATTGGACGTGCGACCGTTAATAGCCATCATCTGACCTCAGGGAAAAACCCCAAGAGAAATGAAAGAGAAAAAAAAAAAGATCCCGAGGTCAGTCGTCCTCCAAAGTTCGTCCGCTGAAGAATTTATACCGTGCAAAATATCGTGCATCCGCCGACCTTATCATAAGTATATCTTACCCACCTAAGTGCCTCAACACCAGTCGGATACCTCCCTCCGAAGTTGCTCCTGTTACCTGAACACTCTAAATATCAAGAACATTCCATCCAACACCCCAAGAATCCTGACGGAGAATCATCCAGTCATCAATCCTCGACTTCTCTATAAGGTATTTATCCACACGCGAATATCCTGTAACTCTCTCTCTCTCGCGACAGTTAGATTCGATAATCTAGGGATATAGAATATGGATATATATATATCAATCCAAGATGTCTATGATCGTATATCATGTACTCCTGCTCGTTAAAATAAATTTGTTATTGTTTATTAATCTGGAATCGAGTGAATCACTTCCTCGTTTCTCTCTCCTCACCTCTACTCCGAATCCAAGCGCTCACACGCTACCGCTCG